CAGGGGAAGATGCATCAGAAGTAAAGGGCTTCAGGCCCCGATTATACTAGGTCATCTCTGCAAGCTGTGCCAAACCTGATAATGTTCTAGCTGTGTTTCCTCCCTGTGTAAAGCCATATAAAAGACATTACATTATAAAAAATGTCCACCTTGGTCTATAATGCATAGCCACAATATCCAAAAAGTGTAATAAGAAATCCCTATTAGATTTATATAACTAAGGGGGGGAGGGGGGGAGCATGCTTCAGACAATAAGTGAACGCAGACACTTTACTGCCCATCACCAGAAGCAGATCAACAAGCCTCTAGTTTATTCCTTGGTTTATTAATAGTTTATTCCTTGGATAATTAAAAGCAGCAGGGGGTCATTTGACTTGAACCCCTACAAGAGGAGACTTGTTAGAAATCTTCCTAGAAAAACAGACCAGTACAAAGCAATGTCAATGCCACATGCAAAAAGAAAAGCAATAAAATAGCTATACACCTGGATCGCTATATACCTGGCACAACCCCAGGGCAGCCTGCGACAGCCTTTGGTGTGCAAAAGCAGGCTGAAACTATCGAAAGTTTTCTTTTTTTTTTTTCATTCTTTTTTTTTTTAAATACTCTTGTTTACCTTTTTGTTTCAATCAGCTTTTCACACCTCTAGTTAGTACTTCCTGGCCTTTCGGTTCTGGTTGAACAGATACGTAATTAGGGTGGGTGGTGAGGCTGCCTTTTGCTCACTGTAGTGTAAATGCTCACGCCCCACAAACAAGGAACTCCAGTTAGCACCACCACGTCTTCCAAAAGCCTTGCACTGGGAAGCATCAGACCTTGAAGCCGGCCATTTATGGCTGAGTTTTTCATATTGACCTTGCTCGTTTTGTGATTAAGCTATTTTTTAACTCTGTTTTTTATACCTTATAGAAATGAGACATTTTAAAAGCTGCTTCAAGGTTTTTATTCAAACATTAGCAGGTCTCTGCTAATTATTATCATTTCTGTTTCTATTATCTGCTAATTATTATCTCGGTTTTTATATGTATTACCTAAGTATTACCTCTACTAATTATTTCAGTTTTTATCTGTATTACCTCTGCTAATTATTATTTTGGTTTTTATCTATATTACCTAAGTATTACCTCTGAGAATTATCTTAGTTTGAATTTGTATTACCTCTGTTATTATTATCTGGATTTTATCTGTATTATCTAAGTATTATCTCTGCTAATTATTCTCTCTGTTTTCATTCAAATATTAGCAGGACATACCTTTTACTCCCATGGCCATAGCAAGGGTATTGACAGCAGACACCTGCACCTGTACTTACCTGAAATTAAAAAAACCAAGCCTTTCCCAGTCCAACTGGGTGCAGCTAGTTAAACCAATTTGTTCTGCACTTCATGGTAGAAATAGGGTTTATTTCTCTCAAAAACACCAATGGAAAAAAAAAGCAAGCAGGGCCTATGTCGCTCCAATTGCCATGTTATAAAATGCCATACGGCAGGCCCCTGCATTATTTTAAATATAAGGCCTTATTTCCAGCAGCATTTTTCTGCAGCTATTCCAGCAGTTTCTCTGTAAGAACAGACCTGTTTTCTGGAAGACACAAACCCAGTGTGCATCAAGGGGCTTCATCTTCCAGCCCTTGAAAGGATCAAAGCAGCCCCAGGCATCTATTTTGCTTCGGGCCCAGAGAGGCCGTGTAAGAGGAGGGCAGACAGCCCCGCAAGTCAGTCCCGATCATTACCGTGTCTGCAGCTATCAGGCATTTCATTATGCTGCACTTTCTGTGTCTGCTCCCGCCCCGTGGCTCTAATTGCCAAGTTGCAGAATGGTCTAGAACAGGGCTTTGATTGATTTTTAAATGCAAGGCTTTGTTCCCACCAGGGTTTTCTGCAAACATTTTCCCTTTTTTGCTCTATACAAGCAGCTCTTTCTTCACGGAGAGACAACATTGGAGGTCCACAAACGGTTTTATTTTAACAACCTTGAAATCAGTGAAATCAACCCCAAAAATCCAGTTTTGGGTAAAGTCACCACAGGGCTTGTAACAGACAGAGCTGGACCCCAAAACGGTCATTTCCAATTCACGCACAATTGATTCGCAGCTCCCCGGTTCTTGCTATATTATGCATACAATGTTTGTCTCACTGCAATCGAATTTCACCCTTTTCGATTTCTTTGGCAGAAATCCTAGGATATGATTTCTAATCCCGAGCAAGCAGTCCGTGTGGATCTTCAAGAGCAAATCCCCACCTGCTTTATCGTGTTCAAAATACACCATCAAGGGCTTTGGCACTTTGCACAGAGGATCAATGTGGCGCATCTACATGTGCACTTTAATGCGCATTAAAGTGTCATAAAAACAGTGCGCTTTCACTAATGCACATTAAAATAAGGTAATGCACCTTTTTCTAGTACCTCACCATGGAGGTACTACATTTTATACACATCAGTATGAGCACATTAATGAACGTGTAGACACGCAACTGGTACTAGATTTAACGTGCATTACCTAAACTGCATTAATCGCACATGTAGACGCAGAGTGTCGCTGGGTTAAGCAGAGACCGAGGCAGTGCAGCATATCCTAGTGCGGTGAGGTTCAACCTTTTTGGCTGGCGTACCACAGATTAGCCCTGCACCCTCCTTGGTGCCACTCCGATCCCCTTCCCCTACACAATCTGCTGCTCTGCTTTCTGCTCCCTACTAGTGCCCCTTGCCTGCTCTCCCACTCTGCTTTCTGCTCCCTGTCCCCTCCCAGGGCAATGTTGTTCATGCCTTGATGGCTCAGGACTCTCTGCTGATGTGAGATTGGATGAACGAATGAATCATTCAGCTTTAAACAGACAGACAGCAGCAACTGGGGGTGTAAGCATGTGTGGAGGGCACTGGAGAAGCTGGGAAGAGGCAGGTGAAATACTGGTGCTGTGACACGAGGGGCCAGGGGAGCAGCACGGAGGATACTTGAGCTACTGGCACAAGCTCAAGCAATTTGGATTAGGACCCAGGTGCAGGGGGATATGCTCTGCCCCTGAGGAGCAGGACGCACATGCCCCTGTCCTGATGTGACCCTGGGAGCTGGACTCAGTGCTCCCCGTGCGCAGCTGGGGGCTCAGAGCCTGCTTCTGCATCAGGCCCCTCCGGGGATAGAGCTGGTGTCCGGACACTGCCCTGCCTCCTCTCTGGTCCGCTGTGGTGAGACACGAGTGCTGAGCTGGGGCACTGCTGCACGTGCACAGCAACCCTCAATTCGGCACTTAGCAGCCTTTGCCCTCCTCAAAGCAGGAGGTGAAGGGATTTAGGGGCCTGGAGGGTTTTGCAGCCCTGGAGTGGTGACTGCGTTGCTTTCTGGGGGTGTAACACCAAGGCCAGACACTGTTCCAGCACCAGTCCCAGCAGCAGCCAAAATACTCCTCTTCTGACCAGTGATTCCCAGTTTATCCAGTAGTAGCCTTTCTGGTTACAGCATCCTAGAGGAATTCATGTCCCTCATGCTCTTGTCAGGGTCCCTGCTTCCCAAAACAGAGCCCGCAGCCTGTAAGCGTGTCTGCACTCGGTGTGCCAGCGGCGTGTCCAGCCCCGCACGTGGCCACGCCAATGCGGATCCATATCGTTGTGTGCCAGTGACACCAGTTATTCTATGCTCATTACTTACCACTCTCCCAGTGCTTGGGCCAGCTGCCAACATCATCCAGAAGGAGGGCACGTTTCCTGCCAGGTCACGGACAGGAGCGCTACGTGGTGGTGGCAAAGACATGATACTCGTGGGGCCCGTGGGAAACTCACCGGCTGGACATTGCATCCCGGGTCAGGATCACACGGACACTATCCTGCAAGGGAGGTTTCAGCAAGTTCAGTGCAATGCAAGGTCCTTCAGGCAGGATGCAGGGAGGTGAGATGCAGCGGGGCGGCTGCATCACGATCTGTCCTTGTCTCCTGAGCCAGAAATTGGAGAACCGCAAGCCCTGTTTTCTACAAAACCAGAGCGACTGGCCTTAATTACAGGCCGGCCTTTTAATTCCCTCTGGACCAAACCCTGCCCCTTGCCCATTTGAAAGGAGGTGACGCCCGGCAGCGGTCAGCCAGGGGCCTGCGGCTAACCAGAGAGGAGGCACGAGGGGTGGGCGACGTGGGTATCTGCTGCAGCCACGTGCCGGCTCTCCCTCTGGGCTGCCTGGCCTAAAACTCCTGCAATGTCCCACAGCTGTGCCTGTCCCCAGGACACCAGCTCATCCCTGCCAGGGCAGTCCCTGGGGACAGGCTGCTCCGGGTGACTCCTCCCCCGGTGTCCCCGGCTCCTGGGGACAGCCCTGCCCTGCAGCTCAAACGCAGCTGCTGCGAAGCCAGCGCTCGGCGTGGCTCCGACTCCTTCTCACTCCAGATTTTGAGACCCTTGAGCCATGGCCACGGCATTCGCTCCAAAAATCAGCCAGGTCCTGATGACACCGGACCCCCACCACATCCCTGGGTGAGTAAGGGGCACCAGGACAGCACCGCAGCAGGATGTACGTGGCTCGTGGCTTGTGGCAGAGGCTCTCAGCCTGGCACAGACCCTGTGGCCAAGGCATGGCCCCCCTAGTTGCTTCCTATGCATGTCCTGGCTTGTCCTGCCCCAGCGCTGTCGCTGCCGGCCGCATGACCCCCTGCACCGGCCAGGCTCCCATGCGCCCTGCTTTGTTTCTGTGGGGAGGGAGAGGTCCCCGGCTGCACTGTGGGGTGGGAACACGCAGCCGGGGTGCACCGTCCCTTGCATTTGGAGCAAGTCTCAGCAACGCTGTGTGCATCTGTGTACAGGTATCCATGACAACCACCCACACGCCCAGCTGCCCGCGGACACACGGGGAAGCCCAGAGACCAGGGATGGAGGCAAGGGGAAGGGCGTGAAGGTGGAAGGGAGCATGGGAAGGGGTAGCAGGGGGCAAAGCAATACAGGGAGTGCACACCAAATGGGCCCAGCCCCCTGCTCCAGGGGGGCAACTCGGGGTCCAGCCTGGCATGACTTTATCCTGCAGCAGCCTGACACAACTTGGGGTGCAGAAAGGGGAGCTCAGAGCTCCTCTCAGGGTCCCCCAGCCTGGCCGGGATGCAGGCAGCACCCCAAGGGGAGGTTGATCTGGGGAACTCCTTGCTGCAGCAGGGTGTTTGCTTTGCGCTGCTGATCCCTGGGGCGGGGCTGCATCCAGCCTGCCAAGAGAGGACTGGCGACATGGGAGGGCAGCACTTGGATGCACTGGGTCTGTCTGGGGCTTGGACACAGCTCAGCACCTTCCCCGTTGGGAAGCAGAGGTGCTGTGCGTGTAGCGAGCCTGACCCCGCCGGTGCTGTTTGCAGCTACGCTGGGTACTGCCCCCAGTACAAGTTCAGGCTGGGCCAGACATATGGGAAGCTGACCTCCCAGCTCCTCACCTGCCCCGAGGTTGCCCGCTCCCCACATCTGGTGCTGCAGCCGACCCAGGGCCCCTGCGGCGATGCTCAGCCCCCAGAGCAGGAGGAGAAACTGCTGGAGGTGCCAAGAGCCGGCTGGGGGGCCGGCGTCCTCCCAGTGAGCTGCAGCATGGTCCCGGGATACACAGGTAAGGGCATGGAGCAGGTCCTCCGGAGGGTCCCCCCAGCCCAGGGGTGCAGGGCAGGACTCAGCTAGGCCCCCTCCCTTGCCTTGCACCAGTGCACGGGGGGCTGCTGGGCTCAGAGAGGAGGGGTCACAGCCGAGCAAGCTGGGGTGGGATGTCCTGCCTGCTGTCACGGCAGCACGGTGACTCCATGTGTGATGCTGCCGCGATGGTGCAAGGAGCTGTACGTGGCCAGACCAGTGCCCGTGACCCGCGAGGGTATCCGGCAAGAGCGGTAAGAACGACGGGCACCTGCCCCTGCACCCCAAACTGCACCGGGACTAGCATCCTAGTCCCGTCTCAAGTCTCCCATGTAAACACCCCCCATGGGGCTGCCCCGTGGGGGTGCTTGGGGCTGCCCGGGGGCAGGGCAGTGGCAGGAGGGTCCACACACCCACCCCGCTGGCAGGAGCCCAGTCCGGCCACACCTGGACCTTTCACTCCTGCGGCCAGGCAGATGTAGCCGGCTTCCCCCTGCCTCCCCCACCTCACCCAGTCTGTCCCCATTGCACCTGGGGCTCAGGCTGCAATTCAGCCACGTCTTCTCTATGCGCCGGACATGTGGTGCCCAGGATTCATCCCCAGAGCCCAGCACTTCTTCGCCAAGACCTACCTGGAGATCTGCAAGGAAGCTAGGAGCGACTTCGCCCGGCAGCAGCGTAGATCCTGGGGTGGGCAGGAGCAGCCCAGGGCCTGCCAGCCCTGCCCGGACCCCGCACAGGGGAGCAAGGTAAGGCTCACTGCAGAGCCTGCACCTGCTGCTTCCAGGGGAGCCCTCTCCTGCTCTGCCCTTGCCCATCAGCTGGCCAGGAGCAGGGCTGGACGAGCCCTGAGGGTCTCCAGAGGCCTGGGATGAAGTCCCTACCCGTTAGCCAAGGCGGCAGGGGGCTGGCTGTTTGCACCGATGCCTGCCCCAGTAAGGGGGTCCCGGGACGGTGTCTATGCCCCCACCCAGCGGGTTCCCCCATGCCGGCCTGCCCAGGAGGCTGCCCTCCCTCGCCCCATGGCTCTCACAACCCCTCTCCCGCCAGGAGCCCGCGGCTGGGATCCCCGGCTCCAATCACCGCCTGCTCCCCGCGGTCATGGGCACGGCCCCGCTCCCAGCAGCCGCGGCCCCGCATGGCTCGCCCTATTCCATGGAAGACGACGACCCCCACAAATACTTCATCTCAGGTGAGACCCCGGGCGATGCAGCCTTGTCCCCACTCAGGCATGGAAAGGGAAACCAGACGTGATGGGGGGCAGCCCCTACCCATCGCCCTGGTGCTCTGTGCAGGCTTCACCGGCTTCGTGCCCCGCGCCCGCTTCCTGATCGGGGCCGGCTTCCCCATCACCACCCACCGTGCCCTGCTGGAGTTCGCCCGGATGTCCCGCAAGGACGGCAGCAAGCCCAGAGCCGCGGGCGCCGGCAGCCTCCTCCCACCGCTGGGACGCACCTACCCCGCAGCCGGGGGGCTGCTGCCCAACTACACCGGGTACATCCCAGGTGAGCGCCTGGCTGCATGGGGAAGGGACCCGCCGGGACCCATCCCTCGCCTGCAGTGGGCTCCGACAGGGTTCAGCTTGGCTGGGTTGTTCCCACAGATCCTGGAGCTAAGCAACCTGGGACTCGCCATTGCAAGCGTTTCCTCGTGCAACCCCATGCTTAGCTTGACAAGCCCCATGCAAAGAGGCTGCAGCCTGGGGAAGGGGCAGAGCAACCCCGCGGTCTTGCAACCAAGGGGTTTGAGCCCAGCTGTGACCCTGGGGACAGTCCCGTGCCATAGGCTCCAGGCATCTGCTTCATCTCCCCCTCGGGCACAGCTCACGGCTCCTTCCTCTGGTCCCCAGGTTACAAGTTCCAGTTTGGCCGCACCTACGGCCACCTCACCCACGATGCCCTGCACCTCAGCCTCCCGGAGAAGCAGCAGCTGGAGTAGCCTCCCCGGCAGAGCACGGTGCTGAGCCTGGCCCACACATGCTGGGGAATAAAGGCCCACATGTTGCCCTCCGTGATCTGCAGGGTTCACACGCACACGGGCATCCACTCCCGGAGACCAGGCTGGTCCCGTGCACGGCGGGTGGGGGCTGTATCCCTGCAGCCTGCTGGTGCTGGCCAGGGCACAGCCAGGGCCATGGGAGCCTTGGCACGTCCCAGCTGCAGCCTTTCTCCAGCCGTCCCCAGGGCTGAAGGGCTGCGGCGGGGGCCTGGATCTCAGCAAAGCCCCTCCCCTGGCCTGTCCGGCCACGGCACCCCCAGCCTGGCTGCTGCTGGGGGTGGACCAGAGCCCCCGGGATGGGGTGGGAATCACGAGCTGGCGGCCAGCGGAGAGCCTGGTCAGCATCTTTTTTATTAATATGCATCATAAATAAAGAAATAAATAAAGGCGAGACATCTCGTGGTCCTACCGGGGAAGTACAAAGTAGCTATGGTGCGACGTCCGCGGCAGCCATGTACAAGCAGGAGGCAGCCGTGCGGCCCCCCCCCACCCACCCCGCTCCCAGCACCAAATACTGGCACGGCTTTGCCTAATACTGCCCCTGCCCATCCATGCCCCCCTACTCCTCACGCCAGGAGCTGCCCCCATCACTCCCTCCTCCCTTGCCCAGCCCCCTCCCCATCAGCACCTGCTCCCTCCCCCAACCCAGGCCCCAGCTGCCCCCCAGCTGCTCATGCCTGCTCCCTCTCCCCAGCCAGCCGCATCCCCTGGCTCCTTGCAACACCAAAAACCACCCCCACGGCCACTCAGGGCTGGTCACAGCCCCACCAAGATCCCCCCCCGCCCCCCGATGCTTGTCCCCACCTGCCTTCACCCATTGTAACCTCCCCTCCTGCCCCCGGTGGTGCCCAGCCACGTGGCGTGGACAGCTGGTGTGGTCCCACACGTGGTGCTGGGTTCACGTGGCAGCACACATGGATGCTGTGCAGCCAGGGAGGCCGTGGGGCTGCCCGTGGAGACCCTTGGTGCAGAATGCCCCAAACTGTGCCGGGCAGGGCCATGCCACGCTGTGGCATGGGGCTGAGATAGGCAAAGCCCCGCTGAAGGCAGCCAGGACCCCGCTATGAAGCTTCCGGGGTTCCTGCTACATCCGAGTCCACGGTCCAGGGGTGCTGGAGACGGCGTGGGGTGGAGGGGCACGGGCCGTCCCAGGGGCTGCATGCACGGTGGGGCCCAGCCACGTGCCCAGCTGGCACCAAGCCCCACGGGGCAGGAGGGGAAGGGACCCTTGGAGGCAGGGATGGGGCGGGGGATACAGGGCTAGCGGCAGCATGGCCTGCCCCAGCCCGGCAGGAGCCGGGGGCGCGGTGCCCGGCGCCCCCGCAGCATCAATAGTCCTCATCTTCTGGGTGGGTGACGTACATGATGGGCACCAGGCCGGTGTCAGCGCCCAGGCCGCAGCGCAGCCAGTCCCCGTCCACCTTGGCGAGGACCCGCAGCAGGTCGCCCTTGTTGAAGCTCAGCTGCCCGGCCTCGGTGGCGATGTGGTGGCACAGGGCTTTCACCTCACTGCGGGGAGACAAGAGGCCAGGGCTGGTCACGGCTCCCCACACTCATCTTCCAGCCCTGCGGTGCTGACCCCGGCAGCAGTGGAGCCCCCAGGACAGGGAGAGACTGCTCCCGAGCTGTGAAACCTGCCCGAGGGTGCAGCTGCCCACCCCAGAGCACAGACGGGATGGGGGCATCGTGCCCAGCCCCAGGACCCCATGCCATGCCCATGCCACTCACCAGGACAGCTCTGGGGACAGACCACGGGCCGGCAGCTGCTTGGGCTCCACGTCGGGCGTTGGGACCTGCCCAGGGTCGGGGGCCGCATCTCTCCACATGCTGGCCCCCACCGTCTGCACCACCCGCTGCAGCACGGACCGGTCCAGGCTCAGCCAGCCAGAGGGAAGCCTGCCAAGGGATGGCAGAGTCAGCGTCTCCACCCTGACCGAGCCCACGGGCCACATGGGCAGGGACTGCTGCACCCGGGGCTGCGGTCACCTCTGGGGAGGAGGATGGGAGGGACATCTCTGGGAGGGGGCAGGTGGGGAGGGGAGGGACAGGAGTTGTGCTATAGTGGTGCTTCAGACCTGCAAGGTCCCCCCTGCTTTCCCAGGGGCAAGGTCGGGGGTGATGCCTAGGGCTGTCAGGGAGACAGTGTCGTGATGCTCAGAGCTCGGACAGCGGGTTTGCCTGGGGCTGATCTTGCCTAAGGCAGGGCTTGGACTGGATACAACTCCGCAGGTCCCTGCCACCCCACAGCTCTAGGACTTGGATACCTGTTGGGCTGCTTGGACTCCTTCTGCGCCTTCCTGGCCCCAAAGAGGTGCCCCCACTTCACAGGCAGGCTGCTGTCTGGAGGACTGGGCCCCTCGGAGGGGGCTGCCCCTGGCCCCGGGGCTGCCGTGACTTACTTCTCCTTCTTCTCCTTCTCCTTGCTACACTTCAGCTCCGAGAGCACCGAGTCCGGGGGGCTGCCCATCCAGAAAGGGCGGCTCCGCTCCCGAGCCTCCTCCGGGGGCTGCAGGGTGGCGTTGGGACGCCTCTCCAGAGGGGCCTCGGCCAGGGGACAGGCCTCGGCACCCTCCACCACACCCTCACGGGGTGGTGGGGCCCGGCGGGGAGCAGACCCCGGCCCCTTCCTCCTCCTCTCGCAGCGGAGGAACTTGGAGCCTTCGGCCGAGCCCTCGATGTAGACCTGGGAGCTCTGCATGAGCTGGTACCACCAGCCGGCTTGCTTGTCCTTCCTGCTCTCGCCCGCATTCTCCACCGCCTTCCTCCTCTCTTCCTCTGGTTCCCGCTCCTCACAAGGGGCCCCCACGCCCGTGGCCCGCTCCCCGCTGCCTCTCGGCTCCAGGGGCAGCCGGGCAGGGGCAGCCCTCCAGCCGTCAGAGTCGTCACCAGCCCGGGAGCGCATGAGCTGCAGGGTGGAGTGAGCAGACAGCACCAGGTCCTGCTTGACCCGCAGCAGCTCCTTCTGCTGCTGCTGCTCCTTGCCCATCTGCAGCAGGCGGTGCTCGAAGAGCAGGTCCAGGCTGAAGGGCAGCAGGGACAGCGGCTGCAGCAGCAGCAGCAGCTCCTCAAACAGCGGCTGGCACACACCGTGCGAAAGGCACAGGAAGCCGGTCGGCTGGTAGTGCGCCAGGATGATGTCTGCAGGGGAGACAGCTGTCAGGCTCTCCACCCTGTTCCTGGGAGCCAGCGTGGCCTGGGACACAGGAGCCCAGACCCACAGCCAATGGGCCATGGTGCATCTCCTTGCACCCCAAAACCACCTCTCTGTGCCAACTCCGGGAGCCAGGGGCACAAGGCATCAGCCTGAGTGGTGCGATAGCTCCCCACCGGTCTCCACGATACCCATTCAGCACATGGATGCACTGGATTTATCCCCATGCTGAGCCATCATGCATCCTCCCAGCACCGGGAGCTCGGCAGGCAGGACCCAGCAGCCTAGCCCAGGGGAGGTGAACCATGCCCCCTTCATGGAGATCTGGGGCGGAGGGGTGCATTTGAGGCACAGCCCAGCCCTGCTGCACCCCACTGGCTTCCCAGCTCTTGGGGTGCAATGGTGTCTCCGCTCTCGCTTCAGAGCCAGGAATCCAAGGCTGGGCTTGGGGGGCTGACGGCCGGCAGGAGACGGGCCTTGCATGGTGCTGTGGGGTGGCAGGGTCCCCTACGATGCTCTGCTGCTGGCCAGCTGGACCATCAACCAGGAAACAGTCTGGGGATCTGGGGGCCTCTGCAAAGGCCTCTGCTGGACCCCGGCTGAGCACCGACACTCGTGTCTGGCAAAGGCTCAGGAGGGCCAGGCGAGGCCAGCCTGGGAGCCTGACAGGGAGGGAGACCAGGGCGGGGGGAGGTTGTCCGCTGGCTGCCCCTGCCCACTTACCCTCGTGGTTATACAGGTGGTTGAACCAGAACTCCAGGGACCGGATGCTGCAGGGGAGGAAACACAAGATCCTTGATGCAATCCTTGCAAGCCCCACATGGAAGCACACGCCTCAATGCCAGCATACATGTGCACACATGCACACATGTATATGCATGCAAAGATACACACGTACGTACACATGTGCACACAAATCCACATATCCATGTGTGCACGTATACCCATATGCACACACACCCACACAGCCATGTGCACACACGCGCATGTGCACGCACCCAAGTGCACTCATGCACACACACCCATGTGCACATATGCACAGACATGCACAGATGCACACGTGTGCACACACATGTACACCTTCACACACACACACACGTGTGCACAGATGCATACACGCACAGGCATGCATGCACTCAGTGTAGCAGTGGTGCAAAGCCCGGCTAGCCCTGCTGAGCCCTGGCCGGACAGCCCGGCAGGGTGGAGAGGTTTTAACGCCCCAATTTCCCCCCTGGTCCTCTTCCCCACTGCATCGGCTCTGGGAGCAGAGCCCTCTCCCCTGTTCCCTGCCCAGTGTCTGAAGCCCCCTCGCCCATCCCAAGCACGGTGCCAAGGCAGCTGGCAGAGGGGCAGGAAACCCCCAGCCCCAGAGCGGAGCCGGTGCCTGCAGCCCGCTTACTTGAGGAGTCCGAAGATGAAGGCGTTGAAGCGCATGGAGTGGCTGGTGAGCTCGGTGTGCTGGCTGACCTTGCTGACCAGGCTGTGCAGGAGCTTGGTGGAGGGGCCTGCAGAGATGGGAGCTGTCTGGGCCAGGGGTCTGCACGGGGCCGGGGACAGGACCCCCGGCAGCCCCAGCCCAGCAGGGGATGTGTTCGACATTGCTCATGCCAACCCCAACGCTCAGGACAGGGCTGGGCACCAGGACCCTCGAGACAATGCCACCACCCAGGATTTGCTGTGACCGTGAGCCAGCCCCTCCCCAGCCCGGCTGCAGGGAGCCTTGGCAGGGACGATTATAACGGACCTGGGGGAGCGACGCATCTCCGGGCCCCATCATCCATGGAGCACTTGGCACCCCAGCAGGAGGGTGACGGGCCCCAGGACGGTACAGGTCTGAGGGCTCCCGGCCCCGCGGCATCAGCACCCCCCTGCCCCAGCGGTACCTAGCTGGGTGGAGGCCTCCACCACGCTCCAAGGGATGTTCCTCCGCTGACCCACGATCATGTCCAGGACGTAGGCCTTGAGCCCATCGCTCAGCACGTCCCAGATGGCCGGGCACAGGTACTTCAGGATCAGGTGCCCCACATTGGGGCTCACCGAGCTGTTCCCCAACTTGGCCTGGCAGCAAAAGCAAGCGAGGGTGAGCACAAGCAAGCTCTGGCTCCTCCCAGGCCCCTGGCTCTCCTTCCCCATCTGTGGCCCCAAGCACCGAGAGCCGCCTGAATATGGGCATGGGGGCAGGTGGGAGAGGGGAGCAGGGGATGCTGGGGAGGTGAACCATTTCCCCAACACAGCTGCAGCTGGATGGTGATGTCCCTGTTGTGTCAGGGGGCAGCAGACCCCCGGGACTGCCCAGGCCATCTTTGGCCCCCAGCAGTTGCCACTGGCAGGGATGCACCTGACTGCAGGGCTGGGGTCAAGAAGAGCCCGTGGCATGTCCCCTCGTGCTACAAGCACAGGGCTGGGAGCCGCACGGGTCTGTCCATCCCCGCACTGCAGAACAGCTCCCCCGGGCACCGTCGGGGGGCCCAGGCTGGCTGCCTGTCCGTCTGCCTTGCAGCCCCCTCACCTGTCTGGCTCCCCATGTCGGGGAGAGGAGCCCCTTGCTTCCTCCGGACTCCCCACTGTCTCGCGATGCCCTGTCTGAGCACCGAGCAGGAGGAGCACGGGGGCTAAGGCCCAGACCAGGAGCCAGGGTCTCTGGGGTCTCTGGCCCATCTGCTCCAAGCACGAGTGATTGCAGGGTCCCAGAAATGCAAGGGAATCCTGCTAAAAGGAGGCTGCATGCACCAGAGGGGCAGCTGTGCTGCAGTCACCCCAGGACGGGGTCTAACCCTTGAAGGAACCCAGCAGGGGCGGCCCCACAAAGCGCCAGGGATAGTGAACCCCCCCGGGAGCCCCGCAGCCATCAGCACACACTTGCTCCATTCATCACTGGCCGGCCGCCCATGGGCATATTTGCAATAATGGGGCAGCACTGCCCATGCGGGAAGTACCGAATGCAGCACCTGGGATGGGGCACGGCACTCAGTCAGTGGCAAAGGAGGGAGCCGTGCCCCTTTCGAGACTTTCCCCCTGCAAAAGGGGACTGCATTTCCCAGCACACAGGGTGGGGATCCCCGATGGGGCTTGCACATCACTGCCACACCCCCTGGCTTGTACCCAGGAGGTCCCACATCCCGCCCCACCACATGGCCTGCCAGCACTGCAGACACATGGCATGGGGGTCTGCTCTTTGTGTCAGGGGGGGTTGAGCCTCTCCCAGAGGCATTGGGTACTGGCTGCGTTGGGGGACTGGGCTGTGCCAATGCTCCTGCCGGCACCGACCCCGCAGGGTCCTGGCTGGAGGGTCTTGCCCCTGCGCTCAGGCTCAGCCCCATTCTGCATTGGGGGCAGGAAGGGATTTCCCCCCCACTCACATTGGTCTGGATTGGGGCTTTTTTCCTGCCTCTGCAGTGGGGACACGGCCTCCACCTGGGGTCTCTGGAGCATCTATGCCCCCCTTTGCAGCAGCAGGACGTTGGTGGCCGCGGGCCACTGATTCCCCTGGGGCAGGCTCAGGGGTGATGCCTGGGGCTGTGCCAGGGTGATGTTCAGAGGTCGGAGACGGGGTTTGTCCGGGCTGGTTTGGACAGGACTGATCCCGTCTCAGGCAGGGGTTGGACGTCTCAGGCACAGGTCTAGGATTTCAAAGGGAGTTTGGCGAGGGCTGAAGACGGTGCCCCTCACACCAGAGCGAGGCCGGGCTCACGTCCCCACGGCCTTACCTTGACTCCCGGGTCCCTGCTGGTTCCGAAATGGGCCACGATCAGGTCGACGGCGGTGTTGATGGCCTTCACCAGACCTGCGGGACAGCCCAGGTCAGGGCAAGCCGGGCGCGGGGGCCAGGCCAGGCTGCCCAGGACAGGACCGGTGCTCCCGCTGGTCCCAACCCAGATACACGGGGAAGCCGGTGTCGGTGCATCCCGAGGGGACCAACGTATGCTCTGCCCTGTGCACAGAGCCAGCGCCCTGCTCCCATCCAACCTCCCTGCACCATGAGACCATGCCATGGACTGGACTATGCTGGGCATAGTGGGCTGCACAGGGGATATTGCTCCCATATGCAGTCTAATGCCATGGCAAGTTGCGGGGGCAGAAAGGCAAGACACAGGGACCCCCCCCAAAGCCCACCCTGTCCCAGCCAGGCCGGCTCCTACCTTTCTTCTGCAGCAGATCGATGGAGATGGACTCGGTGTTGCCATCAGGGGACAGGCAGAACTCAGCCGGGGGCTTCTCCGCCAGCGAGAAGTAGTCGGGGAAGAAGTCGGTGTAGTTCAGCTGCAGCTGCTTCATGGACTGCCCTGTGGGGCCGGAGACAGGATGGCGGTCAGAGACCTGCCAGTGCGGCCTGGGTGGGGGTCTTAGTTTAACCTACCTCCCAGAAACCCCCCTGCAGCAGCCTGCCCCCTCGTCCTCCCCCAGGGCCGGCGCAGCCTCACAAGGACGCGCTGTGGGGGGCTGCACGTCTCCTGGGCTGCAGCAGAGGCCAACACCAGAGACAGCCTTGCGGGTGCAGCTCTCCAGGGCTTCTGGGACCCCACACAGGCCAGGGCCATGGGTCCCAAGCACAGCAGCAACCCACAGAAGCAGCCTGCAGCACGGCACCGCCGGCACCGGGAAGCCTGGCTGGCATGCATGCTCTCTGCTCCAAGGGAGCATGCGGCGCGAGTCTGCACCTCAGTGCATTCACCTGGTGCATTCCCCAGGGTCGGGGCATGCATGGGGGGAGCTGGAGGGGCTTGGGCATGCTTGCTCTACCTGCTTCTCCCCAGCTGGGTTGGGGGCTGCACAGCACAGGGTAGGGGGGCACTGTGCAGCCCAGTGAGGCGCTGCAGCACAGCCAGGTGCCCCGGGGGCTACAACCTCCCACCTCCAGCCTGCATCTGGCACAACAGGGACCTGTTGCCTCGAAGAGCCGCATGGGCAAGGCGGCGGCTGCACTCAGCTCCCATGGGCTTCTGGCAGGGGCTGGGCACTTTCCTTACAGCCATTTCAGCTGGGCCACAGGGGCTTATATAGGCTCTGAGCACCCAGTGCCATTCAGCGCCCCCGGTCCGACTCCCCCCCCCAGCATGAGTGCTGGCACACTCATCACAGCCCCGGCTCCTCCGCTGGGGCAGGCAGCGTGCCCCAGCCAGGCAGCGGTCCAGCCTGGCAGGTCAAGGGCCGCGACAGGGGCGCACCGTTGAGCCGGCAGTGCCCGTGGCTGGGGTTGAGGGTGCCAGAGAACTCCAAGCCGGGGATGCGCCGGGGCAGGCGAGGCTCCGAGACGCGGTCCAGGCCCAGGGGGTTCCTCCGCCTGTACTCCCGCCACTTCAGTGCTTGAGGGGACAGGTGGTTGGCTAGCGCCGCGCAAAGGGACCAGGCACCAGGGAGGGAGAGGGGAGAGACAGGAGGAGGTAGGACAGAGACAGAAAGAGAGACAGCAAGTTAGTGACGGGCCAGCAGTGTTTCCGAGGGGTTAGTGCATTTGCCGGAGGCTGCAGCCAGCAGCAGGGGCCTGAGGGGCCCTTCCTGGGAAGCCTCCCAGGCTGGGGGGACACAGCATGCGTACAAACGCAGGAGCCGGACTGGGTCAGACCTACGGCCAGCCCATCTCACCTGGTCTCTCGCCTCCGAGCCATGGCCGAGGGAGAGCACCGGAGCCATGGCAGAGGGAGAGCACCGACCCCGCCAGACCTCGAGCGTGACCCTCGCTCCCACAGCCTGGGCAGGGTCTGCTCCCAGCACCTGCGTGGCTGGGGGCAAAGACCTGCTTCGGCCATGCAGCCAGCAACACCGCTGGGGGGGGCACTGCCACCAGCCAGCCTGGCCTCCGGTGACGGCTCTAAGCCGGGTGCACGGCACGTACCATTAAGGGGCCGCCCTGCGAGGCTGCCCAGAGACCCCGAGCCGCCGGCCTCGATGCCATTCCTCCAGGACGGCTCTGTGGAGGCCCCGGGCCCGCCCCCAGCCAACACGGACCCACCGTGGAGGTGGTACTCGGACACCGGTGTGCCGCGCCCTGGCGGCCCTTCTGCCTTGGGCACCGGCTTGGGGCTCTCGCGGGGCGGCGTGGCCGGGCAGGGCGGTGGGGCCGTGGCTGCCGGGGAAGCCCGGGTGGGCAGCAGGCTGGCGGACAGCGGGCAGGACC